GAGGGGCCGTGAGAGGGCGCGACGGGCCGCTAAGGGGAGGACGGCACACAGGGCGCGCCTTGGTCAGGAGCGACTCGCTCTCCGGGCAGAAAAAAAAAAAATAATCGATTTTCAGTGGTGGGCCCTAGGAACAGTTCCCACTAGGGAACCTGCTCTATACCATGTGAAGAAATGAGGAATGAATGATGAACTAGGAAATGAGTTGGGTACAAATATGAAACCCTAGAAAGCTGTACCCCATACTGTCTACCCCACTACAGCCTAGAAAGACTAGCATATAATTTTGACATTTTTCGTCGTGGCCGGCCACCCAGGATGCCTCCCTCATCAGCGATCGTGACAAGGGCTTAATTCCGGCGGTTAAAGAAGTTTTCCGATCCCAGTTCCCCCACTACTTTTGCAGCTGGCACTTGGAGCAGAATGTGCTCAAGTTTGGCCCTAACGCCTCCGAACTCTTCAAGAAACTCGCCAACTGCCGCACTAAGCGGAAGTTTGGCAAACTCGTGAGGAGATGCCGGGCCGAATGTGCTGCAATGGCTAACTATCTCTTTGGGGTCGAGGAGGCCAGTGCGCAGCAGAGCCGTGGTGGACGCGGGGCCAACCAGCGTGCACAGGAGCCAGATGCGGGGGATGGGTTGACAAGCCGCACGGGTGCTGCTAGAAGCGCGAGAATGGCAAAGATGGAAGTGCGGCGGCAAAGGAGTGGTCGCAGGGGAGAGCAGCACGCACCATCACAGCAGGAACCTTCTCAGCAGGCACCATCTCAGCAACGACCATCCCAGCAGCCAGTGACACAACCACCATCATCGTTGCAGGGACGATCTCAGCTGCCACACGCTCGGCAGTATCCATTTCAACAGCCACCATCTCAGCGTACACCGTCAATCCACAGAAGAGTACATCAGCATTCACGTCAGCAACAATCAACCCAGCAGCCAGCATTTCAGCAGCAGCCATCTCAGCAGCTTCCATCGCAGCCGCCCCAAAGGGACCATGGGTTGCCCCCCATGCCAACTGCAGATCACACGTGTCACCGGCCTAGAGACATGCAGCCTCAATCGGCGGCTGCTGACAACATGCATCCACTTGATCGTGTGACAGCAACCACATCCGCGCACCCTTCTTTGGCAGGCGAGAATGAGAGAGACAATGCTACAACCATCTCAGACAGCGAGGCGGAGGCAGATACCACAGATGAAGTATTCAAGGAGCACTTTGACGTGGAGGATGGGAGTCAAATCAGCTGCGGGGAGGATTCGGAGCCTGATGGGGATGAGGAGCGTACAGACATGGGCCATGGCTGCCAATCCAACAATACTACAACTCAACCGCCATCCACCACAACAGCGCAACAAGCGGCCATGAGACGCCAACGGAGGATGGAGATTATCAGGGGAAGGCGGAGTGCAAGAGAGGCAGGTGCAAGAAGGCAGGAACGCGCCGGATCACCAGTAGCACACCTGCCTACGCAAGGGAGCCAAAGTGCGCGTCAGCCACTGCCGCAGCAGGATGTTCCGACAAACATGGGTCGGGCCAACGAAGCCGCAGCGGCAACGGACGTTAACCATGGTGTAGAGACGGGATTGGGGGGGTCGGGCAATGCTGATGCTGAGCGCGTGGACAGTGACACAATGGAGGATGGGGCGGGCATTATTGTTCGCACGGGCCAGGATGGACCGAGATACAAGAGGAAAAAAAAGATCACATTATTCATCAAGCAATGGGCACGGTGTTATGCCCCCACATGTCGGTTTGGCATTTACAGCAGCCAGATGGTGGAGTCGATCAACAATGCTATTAAGAAGATCCGCATCTTGCCGGTATCTTACGTGATGGCGGGCATGTGGGATTGGATGGCTAAAATATACTCGGATGGGCAGAAAAAGTCATCCAACTGGCAGCATGCATTGACGGTCGAAGCTGAGAAGCGGTTTGAGCTGAAAAATAACCGAAGCCGTGGTTACAGGGTGACACGCAATGGGCCGAGCAGGGCAAGAGTTCGGAACAAGGGGAGCACTTTGGACCGACGTCCCCTCTCCTTCAACAATGATGTGGGAGAGAGATTGTGCGAGTGCAAGAACTGGCAAGAATATCGGTTTCCTTGTTCTCATGCGTTTGCACACTTACGGGATAGGCAAATGGATGTTAGCCCCTTGATCACCAGGTACTGGAAGACGGAGAACTGGAGAAGGACGTACTCGGCACTCATTCCGTATTCGTGTATAGACACGGTCATCGCGGAGACCAAGCCCGTTGAGGAGGGAGTTTGTGACCCCCCGGTCTTTGTGCAGAGAGGATCAGGGCGGCCACAATCCAACCGAAGGCGTGAAGCGCCAAAACGGACATACAAATGTGGCGACTGTGGGTCTACTCAGCATACCAGGAAGAAGTGTAAGGGAAAATATGGGGGGTCAGAGGTGTATCGTGTAGCAAATTAATGGTATGGGGTACGATAATTTGCTGAGTGTTGAATAATAGGGAGTGTCGGAGGCTGCTTTTTTTTTGCTTCTATATGAATATAGGAGACTGTCAAGAACATTGATTAATGATCCCACTTATGACCGGTCATATAATCATACGTTCCCGACCAATGATATACTCTCGAACAATTGACCGGCTCTATAGCATTCCGCACTTGACCAGTAATACGCACACGCACATATGATTGCGCATATGCTCCCTCGTATATGACCGGTCATATACACAAGAGCACGCGACTGGTCGAAACACAACGCGCATATGACCGGTCCACGAGGCAAATTTGGGGTTCGATGTTATCGCGCGCGCACACCGTTACGTGCGAGAGACGGATACAGTAAAGTGGTTTCGGTAAATGCTATCTATACAATAAAATTAGGGTTGTAAATGTCAACACTATCTCACGTCAGTTGTGATGCACCGTAGGTTGATATTGAAATATGTATTCACGCTTATGGTGTCATGCAGTAGGCTGGAGAGCAGTGTCGGCACAACATTAATACTTTCTAATCGGGTATGCATGGAATATGACTTTCCGTCATCAATGTGTGCACATGGCACAAATAGATATAACATTGCGTCAGTGGAGTTTCTCCACCATGGCACTGGGGGATTTATGTATGACGTTCTCAAAGTCACAATTGAGTGTAATACCAATGCAACAGTTACGGACGGGTATCACAAACATGGTATGAAGCAATTATGGTAATAATCAACGGTAGCATAGTTACCACCTTGCAAGGGCTGCAATAAAGGATTGCTCGGTAGTATTGTAATTCAGCCATGTTGTGTAACCAATGCCACCGGATCGTCTCGCTGGAGTAATCAGTACCCTTTGTTTCCATGTGTTGTGACTTCAAATAAGAGGGTTTGGTTCCCCAAGCATTTTTGCCGAGGGCCCATTGCATAGAATGGCGCAATCAAAAGGGTTCTAATGCAGGGTACAACATAGCATACAACGCCGTGTGTCTGGGCACTTGTCGTTTTTTATAGTTTATTTATTGTTTTTTTTCTCATAGGTGGGCCACCATTGATACATTTCATGGATTGCCCTAGCCGCTAGACACAACCTTGTTAGGTAGCTGACCAAGTATTATAACACGGTGATTTATAACGTCAAAAGCATATCAATATATATTTTTTTTGCAAGAAATGAATTTTGTTGAATTGAATCAGGCGGCCACATTGCGCAAAACATAAACGAACTGTCAGAATGTAAAATCACCGGGCATAACACTGCAAATTGGTTGAACGAAATGCACGTATGCATTCCCTGTTTTTATTTCTCTTTGATAAGTTTCCTAGCAGTTGAAAAACAAGTTACAACGTTGCCGTTATCTAAAATGAACACGCAATTCGTAACAACGCGTACATCAACAGTTTGACCTGCAAATTCAACGTGCATATTACCGGTCTTATACGACGTGCCAAAGTGGATATGGCCGGTCAATTCCGCCGGTCATATCAGACGCGGACATACCTGTTCAATTTGCGCGACGATATGACCGGTCAATTCCAGCATGCATTTGATTGGTTGGCGCGCTTGATTGAATCATATGCATAGCTCGGCGATTTGACCGGTGGAATTGCACCTGGATTAGCCGGGCCAATTTCGAAGCCCTTGATTGGTCGGTGCATATAACCGATCATATGGACTCGTGTCCATCTGACAGGGTCATTTTGACCGGTCATTTTTTTCCTTGCGTTTGATTGGTTCGCGCATTTGAGCGTCATATGCGTTGCTCGTCTTCCATCTCGCGCATAGGGTTAATTCATGCGCAGTTCAACGAGGATGTTTTTCGAAAGTCCGGCCAACGGTCTCAGCGCAACCATAATTATTCGTGACTGAGTACAATGTGCGAAACTGCAAAGGCACTCGTAACATCGGCCGTCGGCAAACGAAAAAGACATAACCGTGTAATCGTACGAGAGGTTTGGAGTTGAACCCAAACCGTTGCACCTTTTAGACCACGTCATGTGGCAGACATATTGCTCTCGATATGTCAGCCAGAACACAAAGTTAGGGTTAGTTAGAGCTATGAGTGGATACTAAGGTTCTATCGTTTTAGGTCTCTAGCACACCACCCTATCACAAAGTGCATATTTCCCCTAGAATAGAGCGAACGGCGCGCGAGTAGGCCTTGGAAATGTCAGGTCGTGCAGCTCGTGGTAGAGGGAAACGTCAACGAAGACGTGATGGCACGGCAACGCCCGACGTGGAATCGGGAGAGGAAGATGGTGTTCGTCGTAGTGATAGGCTAAAATTGGCCTCCGCAAACGCGACGACAAACAAGGAGGAGTGCGCCACGCCGTCTGATCCGGTGGTTTTGAAAATAGCCCCGCACGATTATGGCGTGGAGCCAGAGTTTGAGACGCCGTTGGGAGCCCCGGACGATCTCATCGCGAAAATCACCGGTGGTAAAAAGCTCCCGTTCCTGAATACACAAGACTTGTCTAGAGCTACTGCGGGGAAGTTTAAGCATCCTTTTTTCCCCACGAATGCGATTCGCGACCATCACGGCATGACGGCGCTGATCACGATGGCCGACGCTCTGCACATCACAGATGATCAGCCAATCACGCAGCCGCTCATCGATTTCCATAATATGTAAGTGCAATTCAACATACACCCAAAATTACGTGCTATATTGCATGCGTGAATATCGCACATCCGATTGTCTCACCTGTGTGCCATATGATGTACTCTCTATTTCACCGCAGAGTGCTCAACATCCGCCAGCCAAAGTTGAGCAACGGCAAGACGTGGCTCGCGTTGGACAGTCAAAGTTACGAGTACTTCTGCTCTCGGGGCAAGATCGCCAGTGGGGACACTAGGCCGTCGATCTTCAGCTTCGACTATCTGGCTATGCCAATCTACGGCGGGTAAGTGCCATGATCCCGTTTCTGGTCTAGCATTGAAGCATATGGCTGCCGGTGTTGCTTTGCCTGACTGTAACATTAGTTGTGTAATGCGGTGACGATGCAGGTTTCATTTCAGCGTGATGATTGTGGTCAATCCAGGAGTTGTGACCCTCCCGCTCGACGACAACACCGCCACCCCCCCCGCGTGGTTGCTGCTGTACGACTCCCTTGGGATGCATGCTGTGGGAGGCAATGCATTCAAGAACATGACCAAGTAAGTGTTTAGAGACAGCCACTTGTATTTCCCTTACAAGCACAAAAAAATGACCGTGCGAGTTTATGTGTCATGCATTCAAACTTCCACCGCGTCCCCTTCCTCCCATACACCGTCACAGCTTGCTCGGCATGGCCTTCGAGAAGGAGCACGGAAACCGACCTATAGAAGAGATGAAAGCGGGGCTCGGGAGATTCCAGCCACACGTCATGGAGGTGTGTTTACCTGTTGTACGCTCGTATAACTTGCAACGACCTATCGTTATGCATGCGCTGACATGCTGTTATAGCAACCGATGTAACCCTGCCGCAACCATGCACATGGTGCACCCTTGGTCACGATGCTGCGAAACAGCCCCACCAGTTCTTTCGGGTGTATGGTGCCAATGTGCTGAGTGCTACATTCAGTATGTGCATGGTGCGTTCAGTTTTGTTTAACGCTGCATGTGCCTTTGCTGTATTGCAGGCGTGGCAGATGCCTTTGCAGCAGAACGATGTTGACTGCGGCATCTTCGTCTGCCAGTACATTCATGCGCTTGTGGAGGCGTGTTTCGAAGGAGCTGAGAATGGGGTGCGGTTCAGCATGAGCCCGTTGGCGTACCGACGTGGGTTACGGGAGGATGTATGCGCTCTTGCAGAAGGGCGGCTGATCGGCGAGCTCACGGCAGCTGGGCATGAGATCCCTCCTGGCAACGAGATCAGGAAACCGCATGAGGCTGAGGTGATTGGCGATGAGGTGGAGGATAAGGAGTGGAGAGCGGAGATGGCCGAACGGATGCATAGGCTGGAGGTTCGCAATGAGGGTCAGGCAGTGGCTATTGCCAAGCTCGAGAGGCAATTGCATGAGCTGATGCTGTCCCGTGCTCCGCAGCATGGCATTGACGGTGAGGCTGCAGGGGAGGGACATGGTAATGAGGCAGGGGACGGTGGAACTGGTGAACAGGCAGGTGTGGAAGAGAAGGGTAGGGTCAATGCTGGCACACACGACAGCATGAGAGGGGCACATGGAGAGGGTCCTGTGGCCGCCGATGAGACAGGTGATCGTGTGAAAGACAGTATGCGTGACGGTGTTGGGAAGGGTGATATGGTTGACGGTGCGAGGAGTAACAGTGCGAAAGTGGGGGTGCGTGCTGAGGGTGCTGGAGGCTTGCTGGGTGCTGGCGAGGCCGTGGGTGCTGGCGAGGCCGTGGGTACTGGGCATGGTTTGACAGCCTCGAACGCCGATGTGGATTTGGTGTCAGCATACAGCGTAGGGACAGAGACGACGAGTCGCAATAACGCGCGTGGTATAGCTCCTAGCTCAGGTTATACAGGAGTAAGCAAACGGGAAGGTAAGTGGGCGGCGAAGCTGTGTGTAGATGGTCCTAGAGGCAAATTTTTAGCGCTGGGACGGTACACCGACATCCTGGAAGCCGCAACAGCCTATGCCGCAGCCGCTCACATCTGCCGACCGTCCCTCTCCGGCTCAAAGATGGTGGAGTTGAACGAGGAGGACAGGAGGTGCTTGGATGGTTTTACATCGAAAGGGGTTGAGCGGATTGTGGATGCCAAGCGGTGGCCGGAGTGGAGGAACTGGCGTGCAGTGCTCAGCAGCCTCCCTGAGCCTTCCACCCCAGCGGCAGCAGGAGTTCACACACAGGCCCCACCTCCCTTTTCCCACCAGCATCCTGGAGCCACGTTTGGCTACCATCAGCCAGCTGCCGCCTTCGCGGGACACGCCGGTGCAACCCCAAACCAAGGTGGATGGCAGCCGTACAGCCAGAGCCACCCTCCTCCCAAGCTCCATTATCCATCCCAGCCATTTGCATTCAACCATATCCCAATCCATCCATTCAGCCAGGTGCAAGCACCTATTTCTGTACACCCAGTCCGTGCAGTAGCCATTGCTCCCAACCCTGCAGGCCATGCCGCAGCACAGAACACAGCACCCCATCCGCATGTCCTACCCACACCACCAGTCGTTGCACCCAGCACGGCACAACAGGCAACAGACCCACACGCCCACCAGGTTCCGCCCTCGGAGGAAAATGCACAGGCCAGGGTAGCTGGCATGACAGATTCCCAGCACAGTCTGAGCATGCCCACTGCACCCAACGACCCCAACCCCCCGTCGCACGGCTCCGCACTGGCAAGTGAGCCAGCAACAGGTGAGATGTGTTGATGTGTCATAGTTTTGCGTATCCATAGCCCGTCAAAATCCTAACCTTGTATTAATTCTTGAATTTGTTTCATGACCGTGTGCAGGGGCAGCAGACGACATCATCGATGCCTTCCTTGGTCAAGCAACGCAGTAAATGCTGTGACATTTGGTGATACTGAAATTGTGTGATCTGTAAACATCTAAACGATCTACTTAAACTATGGTATACATGCGTAGATCCAAACATGACATGCCAATAGATACATATGCATAGCATTATAACCCTCCGCCTCTGCCTGCCACATGAAAGGTGTTCACAGTGTTATTTGATTAACGGCATAACAAAACTCAAGACAGTAGCCACGACGTAACAAATATAGTCAGGGAGAATAATTTTTTGGATTATTTGTGTAGGTTTTATAAGCTCCCTAAGCATCATCAAATATGCGAGCACATAAAGGTTATTGCGCGGTCTTATATAATCTGTGACTGCGCCTTTGTTTGGATGTTCTTTGATTGGACGCGCAATGTCTGGTCGCTCATTGGTCGAGCATTTGGCCGAAACTGACCGGTCAATGTACTGTTGGTCAATGTACAGTGAGCGGGCCACTTTCGCGTCCGTGAGCCTGGCGGAATTTTCGGGTGCAAAACAGAACGGAACACTACCTAAGGATACCACTCGCACGAATGGGGAATTTCGGGGCTACAAAGCCCCGTAGGGTAATGCGCCGAAGAAAAAAAAGCCAGGAAGAATCCCCTGGCGTGGCCACTCGAGTCATTATCACCAAATTTGGTGGCCACTCGAGTAATTCGTGGCCACGCGAGGGATGGTGAATCACCTTATTGGCCACTGGAGTCATTCTCTCGGAAATTGCGACTCTTCCAAATTATTTCTCTAGTGATGCTGAATCTAGCCTAGAAACACGTCGGAAATGTCCGGCTCGCAATGCGGGGTTTAGTTTTTGCAACCCTCCATAAAGGGGTGATCAAAGTGCTGCACAAGCTCGACGTCGAGGGATGTCGGTGAATGTCATCCTTCGGATCGAAAGTTCCAACCGTCAGGATTCACCGACATTCCTCGACGTCGAGCTGGTGCAGCACTTTGATCACCCCTTAAGGCATCACAAACGTCTGCTTCAACCCTTTGAAATCTCCTCGCAAGTGCTGTTTCATATCACACGCCCCACCTTCTGGTGGACCTCACCCACGAAAAAGTATTCGGGGATTTTGTTCTCAGGGGTTGTCCGAAGAGAAACGTCGACATCCGCTTATATCCGTTCGGGGATTTCGACAGATTCAACCTACAGATCGGTGATTCGACCGTCGGATTTTCGCCGACATCCATCGACGTTTCACTTCCGAGACGCCCTCGGGCTTTTTGGATCAAACAAAACCACGGAATATAGCTGAAATATTGTGTTGATTTGTTGTTATTGTTTACCCATTACACAATGTCATTTTACAGTACACTATGTTATGTTTTGAGCTTTAAGGGAAACAAACCCACTAGCTGGGTCAGCAAAAACGAACAGGGTTTCGGGAGAGGCTGGTAGAATCCAAACAGCCCACTTCTAAGCACGAACAACAGTTCGTTAGCGACCAAGATTTTGGCATCTGGGCCTGCAGCGCCATTGGTCCATCGTTCCCACCGCCACATCACCCACCCACTTCCTTCTTCCAAATTTGAAATTCGTTTTTATCGATCCCGACAATGAAGAAAATGTAGGAGGGTGCTCTGACGTCATCTAGCAAGCAAGCTACCGTTGTTGAGTCAGGTCGCAGCAAGCTATAAGGGGGGTTTTCTTCTACACTGACCCATCTTGTAAAACTACTGATACAAAAGCATAGTCACTGTGTAAATGAAACAATAACCCTAGACATGCTCCTACAAGTACATGAGTGAAAACCTCAAAGAGAAGTTACGAAGGGCAGGCTATGGAATGTTGGCAGCGCGTTTGCGGATCCGCCTTATACACACACAAGGCATGATTTGGCAGAATCGATGGGCACAGTGGGCTGGTAACATGCAAGAAGGATCGATGCCCAGTTTTTACTCTTCTACACAACAAAACAATATGTATGTAAGGATTTTTTTCAATTCCTTACGATCATACGCCAAATCCTTGCTCAGGTTTCATCTCCTAGACAATCAGGCAGAATACTACAAATATTGTCACTACCCTGCACAACAAGTGTGCACATCACTTCTTCATTCTGGTAATCTTGGTCAGTGGCTTGGCACATGCTGATGTCTTGTTGAGCCAAGTACAGCTCATTCAGCGACACATCAGCAACAGAAGCTTCCAATCTGTCACCCACATCAGCCTCATCATGAGGAGATGATCCCACCACAGAGCAACCCAGACTGCTCATGCTGCCATTGCTGCTGGTAGTGCTGTTACGGCGAACAATTCGATCATACGTCAAAGCGTTGGCAAAGTCGTTACCGCATGTAACACCCAAGTAACCAGTTCCAGGTTCCACATAATCGACAGTGCTGCTGTGGGTGCAGCTCCAGCAGCTGCTATTCCTGCGGTTTCTGCCGCCCCCACTTCCATCCACCATGTAACCTGCTGCTTCGACCGGAACAGCTTGCGGAAGGTGCTGCTGCTGTGGCTGACAGCACTGCAAACGCTGCTGGGAGTGGGACATGTGCTGCAGACGACAATCTCTATATTCCATGCTCGACATCTGCATGCTCGGCGCTGTCTGGAGCTGAAAGGCAGTCGTCCCACTCCCCAATGTGGCGTCAACATAACCTGGTTGTTCCATCCAAGCACTGCTTTGAAAAACGGGTTCATGCGTGGCAGGCTGGCGGTTACGAGAACCAGCACAAGGGGCTGATCCCCAAGGGGCTGATCCCCAAGGAGGAATGGTAAACCCTGGGACAGGAGTAACCTCAGCTTGAGCAGTTCTAACACCAGAATGAGCAGCAGGAGCAGCAGAAAGTGACTGATGGCTTGCTGCCACGCTAGAAGGATTAGCCGTACAGGCTGCTTCGCTGTAGCACCAAGAAGGAGGATCTGAAATGCATGCGGTAGCAGCAAGTGTGCATGTGGTTACCCCGGGAATGTGTGCAAATGTTGCAGTGGTTACATCATGAGTTGTTACATCTGTGACACCAGTAGTAAAATTTGTGACACTGGCGGTGACATGAGTGGTAGGAGTCAGCAGAGCAGGTCCTCTTGCTGTTCCTTGACCATCAAGCTTCTCAGTGCAAAGAAGAGACGACGGCAACTGCTGCTGCTTCTGGTGTTGCCCCTGCTGCTGCTGCTGTTGCCACTGCTGATGCTGGTGTTGTTGCTGCTGCTGCTGCTGCTACTGCTGTTGCTGTTGCTGTTGCTGTTTCTTCTGCGGTTGCTGTTGCTGGTGCTGCTGTAAATGGTGCTGCTGTTGCTGTTGCTGTTGCTCTAGTTGCTGCAAATCTTGCTGATGCTGCTGCTGTTTCTGTTGCTGGCGCTGCAGTTGCTGCTGCTGCAGGTTTTGGTACTGAACCTGCTGGTGTTTCTCCTGCTCCTGCAGCTAGCAATGACCTTTCTGGTTCTGCTGCATCGGCTGCTGACATTGCTGCTGCATCGGCTTACGGCATTGCTGCTGCATCGGCTGCTGGCATTTCTGCTGCATCGGCTGCTGGCATTGCTGCTGAATCGGCCGTTGCAGGCACTTCTGCTCTTCTAGTGGCAAGGAGAACCCCTTCTCAGAAGCAGGCACGGTGGCAAGTGTGCTTGTGCCGCCACGTGCTTGCTGCATGGGAAGCCGCTGCTGCTCCAGAGGAACCGTGCTTGTGGCGGCATATGCTTGAGTCGCCTCAAAGCTCACCTGTTGCATCTGCTGCATGGAACCTGCTGCATGGGAGGACCCTGCTGCATGGGAGGACCCTGCTGCATGGGAGCACCCTGCTGCATGGGAGGACCCTGCTGCTCCAGAATAACCGTGCGCCTAGCAACAGCGTTTGTGGTAACCCGAGGCTCGAATCCAAGCTGTTGAATCTGCTGCTCATGACGACCATGCAGCACTTGAGCGCCGCCCTGCTGCTGCAGTTGAGCGCCGCCCTGCTGCTGCAGTTGAGCGCCGCCTTGCTGCCCCTGGGCAACCGATTTGCTGTCCCTGCTGCCCCTGAGCAAGCTCGTTTAAGAATGTGACCCTCCCAGCAGCCGGGAATGATGCTGGAATAGCAGAAGCATGTAATGTGTTGCTCGCAGCAGCAGCACCAACAGCGGCACCAGCATGAGTAATAGCGGTAGAACCACCAGCAGCAGCTGCTGCGTGGCTACCAGGTAGGTAGCTCAGGTTAGGCAGTGCGACATTCCGGCCAGTTGATCTAACTGATTCCACCGTTGAGTATTTGGTTTTCGGCACCACTGCTGCTGCTGCTGCTGCTGCTGCTGCTGCCGCCGCCGCTGCTGATGTCACCGATGCTCCTGTTGTTGCTCCCACTGATGCTAGCGTTGAGTAGTCGGTCTTCGGTACCAATGCTGCCGATGCCACCGGTGGTGCTGATGCAATCAATGGTGCTGCTGAAACCGCCGGTGCTGCTGGTGCCACCGATGGTAATGTTGTTGCTGCTGCCATTGGTGGTGATGTCGCAGCTGCAGGGATGGCAAGAGGTGCATGCAAGGAAAGTGGAGGAGAAATGCTGCGGGTGCAAGGCGCTGGCACTAGTAGCAGCCCTGGATGTGACGTAAGCTGTGTGACAGGACGACAGGTTGTAGCAAGAGGCCAAGTCGTGGAACGGGGGCAGGCTGTAGGGGTTTTAGCAGGCGGCAAAAATGTAGTAGGAGGGACGGATGTAGCAGGAGGAAAGGATGTAGAAGGAGGAAAGGATGTAGCAGGAGGAAAGGATGTAGCAGGAGGAAAGGATGTAGCAGGAGTGGCGGAAGAGATGGTTGTTATAGGAGGCATATTTGCAGCAGGAGGGACGGCTGTAGCAGAAGAGAAGGTTGTAGCAGGAGAGAAGGTTGTAGCAGGAGGGGAGTTTGCAGCGGGAGAAAAGCTTGTAGCAGGTGGGGAGGTTGGGTACGGTTGGGCATTTGTAGGTGGAAGAAAAATTGTGGCATGGGGGACGGTTGTAGCTGGAGGGGAAGCAGTGCCAGGAGGGGCGACTGTAGCAAGAGCGAAGGCCGAAGCAGAAGCAGGCGTGACAGTATGATGAGTGTGGGGAACACAGTGGCACGTTGGCGGGTGGTTATGTGAGCCGGAATACGCCGTCCGCACCACCACTCGCATCTCCGTTCTGCCACGCCCTGTATTGTCACTTTCTGGTCCTGGAGCCGAGTGGTTTGTAGAGTGGAACTGAGTGGAAGAAGAATGTTTCGCAGAGCAGCCTTTCGCCTTTGCTACGGCGCCTTGAGGCTTGTAGCGGCGTGGTCGAGCCTCCCCAGCCACCCGGTCCTCCGTTTTTTTCGCCGGGCAGCCCGTGAGTTGCTTGAATGAGCACACAAAGTAGATCCTGCAGCAGAGACGGACAAGAGAATCGGTTAAAAAAGCCCTGGGTTTCAGAATCCGGACATGTATGAATCTTCTGACTGACAAGCCCAGAGAAAGAACCTAAGGATGGCTCACTTATTATCGATGGGTTGCATATACTCCAAAGCAGTCCCCAGCAAAGCAATCCAGCAAAGCAATCCAGCAAAGAAGTCCAGCAAAGCAGTCCAGCAAAGCAGTCCAGCACAGCAGTCCAGCAAAGCAGTCCAGCACAGCAGTCCAGCACAGCAGTCCAGCACAGCAGTGCGTAAAGAGGGCGGAGAGAGAAAAGGGGTGAAGGGACTGCTTCTAGCCTTACTCAAGGTACCTCTTCACTTGCTGGCCAACGATCCGTTTGTGTGATGCCTTCCGCCATCGAAACCCCTCGCAGCCTTGGCAACCGCTGCGACTCAGCGCATGGGAATCCTGGGAATACTGCTGCTGCTATTGGTGCTCGTGCAGTTGCTGCTGCTGCTGCTGCTGTTGGTGCTCGTGCAGTTGCTGCTGCTGCTGCTGCTGCTGCTGCTGCTGATGCTGCTGCTGCTCTTGGTGCTGCTGCTGCCCCTGCTGCTGCCCCTGCTGCTGCCCCTGCTGCTGCGGGTCACTATGATATGCTGGAAGCGATCCATCATAACCGTTCATCTGAGTCGCTGCTCCCGTAGCAGCGAGTAGCTGGAGGTCGCTGGAGGTCACTGGAGGTCGCTGGATGTCACTGGATGTCGCTGGAAGTCGCTGGATGTCACTGAATGTCGCTGGATGTCGCTGGATGTCGCTGGATGTCGCAGGACGTTACAAGAGGTCACTGAGTGTCACACAATGTCCCTAAATCTCACGGGATCACTGAATATCAAGGGATAGTACCAATGGAGATCCCTGCATGTCAGCCGATTAAGTCAGACCGCAGTGGCGGACGATAATCATGTCAACATGGCAGCCGCACGAGCATCTGTGAGAACCATCATGGGATCATATCATGGCCACTGGCCACTCTTAGGATCGTAAGCACCTTAGTCGGCAATAGTCTACTTGCTATCGCCTATCGTGTTCTCCACGATCTCCCGAATCCAATGATATGCGCAGCTCTGCTTGAAGTTGTCAATACACACTTCAGCAATTTTCAGAATCTCAATGTTGTCCAATGTTGTATTTCAAGAATGAGTACAAACAGGTTTATAGTCAGGCAAGACACAAAATGCGATTCGTAACTTCACTTGTTTCCCAAGTAACCGCGTGCGCCTCGTTTCACCCCGAGTCGCACACGCAACCGAACCGAATGCACCGAACACTCCTCGAGTCCGATTCGAGCACCTTCTCGAACACGCCTCCAGCTCGAACCACAATTTCTCCCCGTCAATCTCATTCTCGATGCTTCTCCACTCTTCTCTCTCCATTTCTCTAGTTTCTTCCTGATTTCTCTCCCGCTTCTCACGCCGTAGCTTCCATTCTTCACCGTAGGCCGATTTCCACCGTTTTAGATCTAGAATCTCCCACGAGATCCATTCCGCCGTCATTCCGCATTTCGCCGTAGGTTCCGTGGTTCGTCGAACCAACCCTAACAATCTCCCCTGTGGTTCGTCAACCACGAACTCTACTCGCACTCCTCCCCTACTCCTGGTAGCCTTCACAAGGTCTAAGTCACCTTCACACTCCCCTGCAGCTCCTGCACCTTGAACCTCTGCTTACGTGTCTTGAAGTTGAGCGCCTTGACATCCAAACCTTGAGAGATTTTCTTAAGCCTCTCGCTTCTCCTCGGCATCTTAGCACCCAACACCTCTCGAGTCTCGTACCCCTCAACGTACTCCTCTTTCATAAGCACTCGCCCCTTTGCAGTTGCATTCGCCGTTGATCCCTTCACCATGATGCCCCCTTTCACAGCTTCAACTCCCACACACTTCGCATTTACTGCTTCATCTTTAACCACGACCGCTGCTGCAAAAGTGTTGACACCATCTCCATCTCCATCATTCACCGCTGCTGCCTCCATGGTGACTATCTCTTCTTCCTGCTTCACTGCTGCCTCCACACTCGCTCCCGTATCATCCGTGTCCTCGCTCTCATCAACCTCAGTAGACTCAGGATCCTCATAGATCTCATCCTTGTCGTTCATCGCTATCAAGTTCATCTCATAGAACCCGTCACTGAAGTATCCGTCGGCATACTTCTCCCACTCAGGACCAAACACTGTAACCTCGCCTTTGTCATAAAATATCTTGCACCCCAAGTCATCAAGCTGTGACTGACTCATCAAATTCACCTTTAAATCCTCAACCAAGAGCACATTCTCCAGTTTCACCTCTCCATACGGACTTTGCAGCACCACGTCACCCTCTCCTGTCACTGGTAACTTCCCACTGTTACCTTGCAGTATATAACGCTCACTCGACTCCCTCACGTTCTCCATCCAATCTGACTTGAATGTCATGTGACGCGTGCATCCGCTGTCCATGAACCATGCCGTCTTCTCACGTCCGTCCGTCTGACGAACATCCTTCGGTAAACGCACCACGTTCGCACGATGCGCTCCTCCCAAAATCACATCCTCCTTTTCGGCTTCCGCTACATTCGCCTTACCCGCCACAATCCTCTGCTGCGACGGACCCTTGTAGCTCCTGCTGTTCGGATTGGAGTAGCACTCTGCGGCACGATGCCCATAGCGCCCACAATAATCGCACTTGCCGCCAAAACCTCGTTTCTGTTGCCACTCTGCTCCCCCATTTTCTCCTTTCTCGTTCTCCACCGCTTTGCCCTTGTAGTTTCTGCTTCACGGATTTTCGTAGCAGTTTATCGCCTTATGCCCCCTCTTTCCACACTGGTAGCACGCTCCAAACGCCTTCGTGGCATTCACCAAAGCCGGCCTCTCCTCGTCGAAATCCGTAGCTGCTGCTGCCGCTTTCTTTTTCCTCATCTCCTTGACCGTCTCAAGCGACTGTAGAATCTCCTGCAGCTTCGTCAAACTCTCCGGCGGTTGGTACGTAAACATACCGATATCAGATTCCCACTCCTTAGGAAGGCCTTGGATGATATAGTCGATCATCTCGTGCTCCGTCTCCGCGGCTCCCATCACCCGCAAGTTGTCGTTGTAGTTTTTCGCCATGTTGATGTAGGTGATGATTTTCTCGCCTTTCTCCATGCTCAGCATCAGCAGTTGCTTCCTAATCGCCTTCTTGTTGACATCGTTCGTGCCCATGTACGTGGACTCCAGGTACTCCCACGCTTTCTGTGCAGAGTTCAGCTCCCCTGCAAACTGGTCCAAATCCACCGCGATTCCATCGGCAACTGAGTGACAAAGCTGAAAGAACGCTTGCTTACTTTGTTTTTTGAACGCCGCTATTTTCTCCTTCGTATCCGTCGGGGATGGCGCAACTCCCTCCATCGTCTCCTCGTCGGGACGGTAGTACGGCAAGAGGTCCACCTCCTCTGCCCTTCGAATGAACTTCTTTCGCCACACGTTGTAGTTGCTCCCGTTGAAGCGCTGGGCTTCACTGAGCCCGATCGTCGGTTTCGCCACCAATCGGCCACTCGCAAGGGCCTCGAGAAGAGCCTTCAACTGCGGGTCTCCAAGACTCACACTGGAACCCGAACTCGCCTCGTCTCCCATGGCGTAGGCGTGAACGACTCCTCTTCTCCACTAATTTCACTTAGCGCACCAAGTGAATTTACGACGACCGACGCGACCGTTCGCCAAGCTCTGATACCAGTTCTTAGGATCGTAAGCACCTTAGTCGGCAATAGTCTACTTGCTATCGCCTATCGTGTTCTCCACGATCTCCCGAATCCAATGATATGCGCAGCTCTGCTTGAAGTTGTCAATACACACTTCAGCAATTTTCAGAATCTCAATGTTGTCCAATGTTGTATTTCAAGAATGAGTACAAACAGGTTTATAGTCAGGCAAGACACAAAATGCGATTCGTAACTTCACTTGTTTCCCAAGTAACCGCGTGCGCCTCGTTTCACCCCGAGTCGCACACGCAACCGAACCGAATGCACCGAACACTCCTCGAGTCCGATTCCAGCACCTTCTCGAACACGCCTCCAGCTCGAACCACAATTTCTCCCCGTCAATCTCATTCTCGATGCTTCTCCACTCTTCTCTCTCCATTTCTCTAGTTTCTTCCTGATTTCTCTCCCGCTTCTCACGCCGTAGCTTCCATTCTTCACCGTAGGCCGATTTCCACCGTTTTAGATCTAGAATCTCCCATGAGATCCATTCCGCCGTCATTCCGCATTTCGCCGTAGGTTCCGTGGTTCGTCGAACCAACCCTAACAGCCACTTGCGGTAGTGCGACCGTTTGCAATATAACAACTTTCGACTGCCAGATTCCGCCGGGGTTGCAGTGCCGTAGTATTGCAACTCGGAGTTGTGGCGAAACGGCCGAGGCTCGGCGAAACTCCCGCGGAGATTAAAGTCAGTAACTTTCGTAGCAACGTTACTGAACTAAAAAATACAACCCCAAGGCGCGGAAATAAAATCTGACGAGACCAGCTTTCGAAGATAGACGAAGGTGGAGAAGACGAATCTGGGATTTGACGAATCTGGGATTTGACGAGGGCAGAGCCGGCGTTCTCGGTAAAAGTAGAGAGCATCGAGCGTGAACAGTCACGTACAACTTGTACTATAGTAGAAGTAGTATACTAATACTATATAAAGTACGAGAAAGCTATCGCCCCCGGTGCAGAGGTGATCGCCTCGAGAGATGGATAGACCTCCTAAGATATGAACGTGGGACCATCAATCTGACCATTGACTAAGCATCACTTCGTCACAAATGGCCCTCAGACCCAAGTTCCGCCGCAGGATGCGGCAGTTTGATTTTGGACATGCGTGCGCAATGAGAGAATTTCTCCAGACCCCGAAACGGTGATTTGCCGTTGCACACGTGGCCTCGAATTGCTACCGTGGTCGGACAATTCGATGATAATTGCTCGAGTGGTCTTGCCAGAGGTTTCCTCTGGCATTTTTTTAATCCGGCACATTACCCAAAACCGGTTTTTAGCCCTGAAATTCTTACGTCGAACGTGTCTCTTCCCGCGAAAGTGTGGCGTACCCGGAAAGACGTGCACGAGGGCGACAACGTCACTATTCGGATACGCGACAAAAATCAGCACACTCATCTAGGCAAACAGGTGCGCTCAATTTCGGTCCATATCGTAACCAATCCGCGCATAGTTATATGATTCCACGATCATATATTCAGTTGGACGGATGTCAGTACGCGCGACCAATTACAGAGTGCGCCTGATTAGTCGACTTTATGCGCGGGGCCTTTTCTGACCTTGCGCGTCCAATCAGACGCGGTCATGTAAGATCGCGCTCATATAAAACCGCATATTTACCTATATGAGCGCGCATATGTGATGCTCGAATGTGTGTATGATCTGTTTTATTAATCTAAAACTATATTAATAAATTGGAGAGACATTATCACTGCCGGCGTTTTGCCATTATACTTATATCACGCTGTGCGATATAGGTATGCACAGTTTGATATAGGTATAATGGCAAAACGCCGGTAGTGATAGCATCTCTCAAATTTATTAACATAGTTTTATATTAATAAAACAGATCACACACACATTCGAGCATCACATATGCGCGCTCATATAGGTAAATATGCGGTTTTATATGAGCGCAATCTTACATGACCGCGTCTGATTGGACGCGCAAGGTCAGAAAAGGCCCCACGCATAAAGTCGACCAATCAAGCGCACTCTGTAATTGGTCGCGCGTACTGACATCCGTGCAACTGAGTATATGATCGGGGAATCATATAACTATGCGCGGATTGGTTACGATATGGACCGAAATTGAGCGCAACTGTTTGCCTAGATTACCGTGCCGATTTTTGTAGCGCATCCGAACAGTGACGGCGCCGCCCTCTGAGAAACTGAACGAGAGAATGGATTGACTAAGGGAAAGTTGGGTACAAATACAAACCCTAGAAAACTGTACCCCATATGTGCTACCCCACTATAGCCTACAGTAGCTATGTCATATAAATCTGACACACCCCCATAGGCAAAGTGGGGGAGAACAAGGGGTCACAAGACCAGTCAAGCAAAGCAAAGCAAGCTCAGGGTGGATCACAAAGTCACCACACATTCCGAGCACAAGTTCAAGGCCACAAGGCCAGTTCACATGCAGGATTACATATATATATAAGGCTAGACAAGCAAGAGCAGGTGTATATATATATGCAACAGTACAAACAAGGTCAAGGGGTGAGCAAGTGAGGCAAGGTAGGCACAAGACCCAGCTGAGTACAGAAGCGCTGATGATCACAAGGCGCAAGTGCCTTGGTGAAGATATCAGCAGTGTTGGCCTGAGAGGCCACGTACGCAAGCCGCAGCTGACCACGCTGCTGTAGCTCACGAGCAAGGAAGTAGCGGAGAGCAATGTGCTTCGTTCTGTGCTCCAGTCTCTGCTCTCGACACAAGGCCAGCATGGCCTTGTTGTCTACGTACAGCACTGGAGGAGAACGAGGCGGCTCTCCGAGGTCAGTCAGCAGGTAGGTGAGCCAGCGAAGCTCCTGTGCAGCCATGGCCCCGGCGTAGATCTCAGCCTCACAACTGGAGCCGAGAACAGAAGACGAGCGGGTAGCCCGCCACGAAACAGAGCCGGAACCAAGGCTGAAGGTGTAACCCTGTGATGACCGCTGCGTAGCCTGGTCGTCAGCCCAAGAAGCGTCTGCGTGCCCAGTGAGGACCACTGGACTCTGCCCTCCAAGCACAAGCCCCATGCCCGACGTACTGCACAAGTAACGCAACACCCTCTTCGCTGCAGCCATGTGCTCCGGTCTGTGTCTCCCAGGAGCAACATAGCGTGCGAGAATGCTAAGAGGGTATGCGAGGTCAGGTCGTGTGCAGGTCATCAGGTATATGAGGCAGCCAACAAGCTCTGGGTACGGGCCACTCGACTCTACGGACTCATCCGAAGGCAGAGCTGAGAGCGAGTGGCGAGTAGGCAGAGGAGTGGCCTGAGGCGAGGAGTACGTGAAGCCGAAGTGCTGAAGGACCTGCTGCACCATGTGTGACTGAGTCAGGGTAATGGTGCGGCGTGCTCTGTCCCGGGTAATCTGCAAGCCAAGGTAGCTGCGCAGTTCACCCAGGTCTGTGCACGTG